CAAGATGCTTAACAAGACATGATAAGGCAACAAAAAGGTACTTTCATGAACTGAAAATAAAAACTGTGAAAGGGATCCGAGCGAGTTTGTGTACAGAGAGAAGAGGAGGGGACCGAGAACAGAGCCCTGAGGGACCCCTGTAGTTAATTGACAAGGGTCGGACTCGGACCCTCTCCAAGTTACCTTGTAGGTACGGTCTTCGAGGTATGAGGTGAGGAGGGAAAGTGCAGAGCCTGAAACTCCAAGTTGTTGGAGAGTGCGACGGAGGATCTGATGGTTCACCGTGTCGAATGCAGCAGACAGGCCCAGAAGGATGATGACAGAGGAGAGGGAGGCTGCTTTAGCCGTGTGCAGTTCCTCAGAGACAGCAAGGAGAGCAGTTTCTGTGGAGTGACCTGCCTTGAAACCAGACTGGTGCGGATCCAGAAGGTTGTTCTGATGGAGATAACAGGAGAGTTGTTTAAAGACAGCGCGTTCAAGTGTTTTAGAAAGGAACGGGAGGAGAGAGGCAGGCCTGTAGTTTATAACATCAGACGGGTTGAGAGTAGGTTTCTTTAGGAGAGGGTTTACTCTTGCCTCCTTGGGAGTGTTTGGAAAGTGACCAGAAGTTAGAGAAGTGTTGATGAGATGGGTGAGAAACGGCAGAATATCAGGAGCGATAGCCTGAAGGAGGTTTGAGGGGATAGGGTCCAGAGGACAGGTGGTAGGACGGGCAGAGGTAACGAGGGTAAGAACCTCACTTGGAGAGAGAGGGGAAAAGGAGGTTAGTGTGTGGGTGAACGGTGCGGTGACCCAGTGGTGTGAATGGTGAGATAAGATAAGATAAGATGCACTTTATTGATCCCAAATTGGGAAATGTTTGCATTTGCAAAACAAGGCATTGCACATAAGTAGAATGAAAGAGTAGACATAAACAATACTAGAATTTAAACATCTCAAAATACAATTCAATTATGATCTCTTGAAAAAAATGTTGCAATAGTTGAATGAAGTCCTGAATGGACCAAGTATTTATCTCAATGAACCAACCCTTAATGGATGAAAAGAAGCATTCATTTGCCCCTTTTTTCTTCTTAATCTGGACATTTGTTCAGAATTTGTGCTAAATTTGGATAGAAATGTGTTTATTTACTGCTATTTTACCATAAAATGAACCTTCATTTACAAAATGACCATGATGCTGTACTGGAGAACACTTTAATCTGATGATTAAGACCATTACTTTATGAGGAACATGTTTACTGAGGTGATAAATCAAGTAAAAAGTAAGACGTTTTTGTTCATATACTTCTATACAATCGGAGAAGGGAAATATGGGAACAAATTAAATATCCACTCAAGAAATGCATTCTTTTTGTCCAGCTTTGAGTAACCTGTGATCACTTGCTTTACACTCACCAGAGAAAACTCCCCATGTGAATGTGACCTCCACACCGTTCGGAGATCAGTGAGTGTATTGTGTGAGTTGTGTGTATTGTGTGTGTTGTGTGGTGTGTGTTTCTGTCGGATCAGGGGAACACACACTCTCTGCATCACAGAATCAGTGAACGGGTCCTCGGCTCTTTACATCCTCATGATGTTTCTGTTTCCTCTGAGGCGGCATGCTAACACAACAACATCCACATTGACCCACACTGTCCCATGACTCAGTCACCTATTTCATGTGTTGCTTAACAGGTAATGGAAGTGTGTGTGTGTGTGTGTGTGTTGGGGAGCTAAAAGAGTGTTGTTTTTCTAGTGTGTAAGAGTGCGACATGGCTGGTTGGTCAACTGTTCGTTGGTATGATTCATGCCTGTGGTGCGAGAGGTTAAAAAATGGAAGTTTTAACCGGAAAGAGGCCATAGTTTCTGTTGACTGATTTGGACTATTATGAGAAGTGTTGCAACCTTTAGATATAGAGAGCACAAGAGGAACATGTAACTTTTAACTTTTATCCATGTATTTTTTCTTTTAATGTTTATTTTATTATCTTTTCTTTTTAATGACTGATTTGAAATGCCATTTTCATAATGTCTTCCATTTTTGTAAAGCACTTTGAATTGCCTTGTGTTGAAAGGTGCTATATAAATAAACTTGCCTTGCCTTAACCCTTTAGATGCCCGAGTGACTGGACCCTACTCTCTTCCATAAGTGGGTCAATATTAGAATAATATGTGTTTTTATGCCATTTTTGTCATTTTAGTTAAGAACAATCACTTGTATAATATTTAGTATTATATTTTGGTTCACACTATATATTTTATATTTAAAAGGGTTTTTTTCAAAAAGTAAAAAAAAACCCTTTTGAACATATCGATGCAAAGATCTCCGCTATTCTGAGACCCTCACAGTATTCCAGTCCCTTTTCAAAACTCATCTCTTCTCCTCTTGTCTACTCATAGCCCCCCCCCCCCCCCCCATCAATCCATGCCGGTTGATCAAGTTTGATAGTCCTATACCCCCCACCCTAACCTTTCCTTATATTGTAAAGCGAATTTGAGTCCTTGAAAAGCCCTATAAAAATATAATGTATTATTATTATTATACTGACAGGTATCAGATCTGGCTGTGTAAAATAATCTTCCTGAGAGGTGTCACTTGTGTTGTCGTCTGTGTGGTCCACAGTGAATGTATTCCTGACAGCAACAGGTGATAAGAATCAAAGGTTCCCATAGGATCCCATAGGAAATGCATGCGGGTCATGTTTGACCCACTTATGGAAGCTTGGGGGTAGAAATACAAAAACTACAATTTCTTAAAATGTAAATTTAAAATGTGAATGGCATGATATCCAAAACATGTTTTTTGAGGAATAGCTGGAATATGAAGTGATAACAAAAATGTAATTACAAAGATACTTCAAGAAAACCACCTCACCGGGTCCAAAAAGACCCACTTATGCATCTAAGGGTTATAGCCTCTACATAAGCAATCTGTCCAATTCAAATGATCCCCTAAGTCTTCAAAATCGCTCCAAAATGTATACAAATTAGCCAGCAGAGTACAACTATTGACATTTTCTGGTTAAAGCCGCCATATCTGGTTCTGAAAATGTCAGAAATAGATTCAGCATCCTCAATTACCCCCAAAATTGTCCAAATGGGCCAAGTCATTTTGTAACTATTGTCACCAGGCTGTAATCGCCAGCTCCTCAAATGTATGAGTGCACATCTCCACGTTTTTCATTCAATGTTTTTGATGCTTTTCCATTAGTAGTCGGATGCGACTTTATAATACCACAATTACCTGAGACCTCCATTGACCTGACCTGCAAGGTACAATCCATATTTCTTTGTATCATGGCCTACATTTGAGAATCTAGGTCACTGTGTGCATTGGCCATTAGTACATCGTGGAGTCTTTAAACACACTTTAGCACTGCATGCTGCTCAGTGGCGGATTTAGGATCGTAGGAAATCCGGGGCTTAGCCCAAGTAGCCACCTTTAGCGCCGCCACTGATGCTGCTCTCACAAAGAGAATTAGCACTGTGCTTAAATCTCTGATACATTCAAAGAGAGATGAATTATGCATGAGGCTTACTCCAACACTTAAGTGTAGAAAATTAGCATTCGTAACACATGAAGAGAGACCAACACATCCTCTTTATTTAATAACAAATACTCCATCAACATGTGAGTGAATGGTTTGCATAGGTACACTTTGAAGCTGGTATTGTTATAGCTCCTTCGATATGAAAAGGGTTCATAATTAACATTCAAAAACAGTGTGAAACTGGAATTACTTATAATACAAACAGCAGTGTTGCAGGATAACTTCTGTGAGGAATTGTTAGACTTTTTGTAATTTGTTTGTACATTTAAACAAATTGAAGATTTCAGTCACTCCAGTACAATCCATAATCATGTAATTGTACAGACAAATATATCTAATCTAGCACATGTATGCTATTTGTAAGGAAATGCATAATGTCTGCATTAACTAAGTCGTACAAAGAACACAAATAACACAGGAAATGTAACTAACAGCACAGAGGTTATTGATTAAAAAACATACCTTTTTATAATTAAATCACAGGTGTAAGGTTTCACATAATTTATGACTTCATTCCTTTGAGGTGTGCAGGTGAGAGACCCTGGACATTTGCATGATGACCCGTGGGAATACCTGACATGAATTATTAAAGTTATTAAAGAGGCCCTATTGTGCTCATGTTCAGGTGTATATAGTGCCTCTACTGTGACATGTCTCCATGCTTTAAAGGGCCCATGTCATGCTTTTCTGGTTATTACCCGTCCCCTTGTGTGTTATGAAGGTTT